GTTTGGGGGGGAGAGTAAGTTTGGGGCGGAACATATACTGGATTGCCTCCAAAGCGACTCACCGGGACACCCGCGATGAGACCGTCTTGCCTAGGATATGGGCAATTTCTTGCGAAGTGGCCAGGCTGTCTACAATTGTAGCAGACACGCTCGTAACCCTGAAACTGAGTCTCGTCAGCCATAACTTTCTCAACTAGGAATGGAGCAAACGAAAATACTGACCACCTCGTCCGCACGAAGTGAGTCTATCTGCTGAGCGAGTGTTTTGACAAAGCAACAAAAGCAACCAGTAAAGTAAGACTGGATAATCAGAGGTTCACTCGTAGGACTGTAGAGAGCTAACCGGTAGTATATGATGGATGCCATACAATTAAAGTTAGGATAGTAGGGAGTTATATGAGTGATGCTGCCTGAAGGTGAGATTCGCCTTCAGAATCGCGAGTCACATGCGTCTACACCAATCTACGACTTGAGTGGTTAAAAGACGCTATCGCAATAGGTAGAAACGCAACAAGGAAAGCGTGTTCAAAGCATGTTTACCAAATACGAAATCGAAGGTAAACACAAGGAGGACAGGGAGAGGGAGAGTTAGATCCGAAAGCAAAGGCAAACACAGATGATGGAGAAGGATAGAGAGGACAAGGAGAAAGAGAGAGATAGGGAAAGGTAGATGAAAGCCATGGAGATCGCAATACGCGCGAAAAGGTCTGGCACTTATAAAGATATAACTGAGTACAATGTAAGTGCCATACTGACGAGGTCCCTACGATCGTTTCAGCCGTCCGCCAGAATCGGCATCATCAGGGGACGATCGAGTGCGTATCTACATGACTACAGATATATGCTTATATATTCTCTCGCATCTACCAACTCTCATGGTTTCACAAAGCTTTAGGCGCATAACACTAAGTCTGAAGGTGCGGGGTCTGGGGAGGAGAGACAGCAGCAGTGAATAGGCGAGGGGCGTCGGATGGAAGTCCATAGCCAAATTTAGAGACTGTATAGTCGCAGTCAGAGTTCTAACCGAACAGCTAGCACGTTCTTCCACTAGTCCGTAGTGGGCTCTCATCTGAGCCACCGAGATCCATGCGCGGTGAACCCAAGTGGTAGTCATAACTGTCAGCGGGGCACATAGAGGCGAAGAACAGATCAGAATTCGGAATGGAGGATGTAGCATGAGCAGGCTGGGAAGTCCAAGAATAAAGTACAAAGCGCGAGATCCGCATGCTCTTCGATGGGTCGAGGTCTTGATTTTGAAGACTGAGAACGACGAAACCATCGTAGTCAGAAGAGCCATGTTCAGAGTCGTTGCTACTGAGAACGTAGTGCCTAAGTAGCTGCTCCAGATGTCGCTTAGGATCCTCGACAGAACACATAGAACAGAAACAACCGAAACAGCAGACATCACAGCGAATAGTGACCGTAAGGGTGATGGCTTATGAATTCGGAACAGAAGATGTGCTAGGAACA